TATATAAAATGTGCTTTAATCACTAGGCAATCCACAGAAAATTTACATCCGTGTTCTTACATCATTTCACCTTTATTGGCAGAAATTCTATTATCACTATGTGGGATATTTAATAACAAAAGTGATAAAAACAAACAAAAAGAAACTAAACAAAAGTGGCTGGATTATATACACATCCAAAAATTAAAATTTAGAAGTTTACAATTTCAGTTGTACATGTGTGTAGTTACATCAATGGGAAAAAACATTTTAGTCTAATGAAGCCCTAAAAGACAAAATTAATCACACAAAAGATTTTTCCACTTTGTCATTAGCCTCATTTTATATATATATATATATATATATATATATATATATATATATATATATATAGTGTGAGATAGACACCATTTCTGGCTTTACACTATCTGAAAGAAAGGACATTTAAGACAAGCAGTTTTTGCAATAAAGCATTCAATATCAGAGAGCATTAATAGGATTAATACAAATGCTGAAACCTCCTGAAGAGTGTATTGAACAATTACAAAGATTCATTTACAAAACTAGTCGAGGTGCTGAATACAACATTAATCAGCTAAATGGCAAATTATATATATATAAATATAATATATATATATATATATATATATATATATATACTGGGGGGCATATAAAAATACTTAAAAATCTAATACATACTTTTTTTTTCAAAAGAAAAAAAAATTAAGCTGCAAGTTCTAATTGGTCAATGAAGGAAAAAAATCTAAAATAACATTTCAACAGTAATTTGATGTAAACCTAAATAGAGTTTATTGGGGGGGGGGGGGACCTAATTTCTAAGCAAAACGAAAGAAACTAAGCTGAACAGCAGCTGCTGTTATTTTTGGTACAAATATCAATTTCACATTTGCTTCTATCTCAGATGAATTTCTGAAAATCTTTTTGGTTAACCATTTTCTCTTGCATAAGGAAATATTCTGGTACGTCAACCATGAAATATAATACTGAAAGTGCTTTTAGCTGCAAAACACAACTGCTTGCTATGATCCTCCTTTTAAATGGGCAAAATGCCCAGAGAAGTAAAGAAACAAAGCTAACATAACGATAAGACGCGGCAGATCAAAGAATGAAACTTAAAAAGCATGCCAAGTAGCAAAACACATGCTACACCCATGTTTACAAATTCAACTTGTAGTTTTTTTTTTTATCTGGTTTTATATTATGAATATACACAAAATTTTCCATTATATATGCACAGTACTTATTGGAAAGTGCTTAATATCAGTGATAGAGCTAACATATTCAGTCATATGGATATGAGGTTTATAACCCTGGGTAAACAAGAGTGTCTGATGGTCACAAAAGCATGAAACCCAGGGCTACACACATTTCCATACGACTATTGCTATTTTACATGGAAAGTGTTCAAAGCATCTTCCTTAGTTCCACCAATTCTAGACATCACATCTAAGACCCGCCATACCAGGCACATTGTAACACCACCCCCCCTCATTCCTTTCATTGGTCAGATGTAAGTTCCACTCAAGCAGCTTCTTCCCCATGAACAAGTTCTTCCTGGAACCAAATCCCAAGAGGATGCTTCCCTACAGTTTTACCTAATTGTTCAAGTCTAGGCTTAACATTATCTTCCCCACCTATTCAGCAAGAACATGTTTAAGTAGTTATATCCGGGTTTTTTTTTTTTATTTAAAAAAAAAAAAAAAAAAAAAAAACAGTAAAATTAATGTCTATCAGCCTAAAGACTGAAAGTCTTACTAAGGAAAAGATGCCTCCTGACAGGAATCAAACTTATATTCTCTCTTAATCAGTAGAGTAATTAAGCTTTACTTTGCTATAAAAGCTTCTTATGGTTTATTGGTAAAAAAAAAAAAAAAAAAAAAAAAATTGAAAAAAGGTTTTCCCCCGAATTAAAATGGTAATAAACACTCAATTCCTATCAGGAGGTACATTTTGACCCCTATGTTGGCAGGTACTAATTTCAATGTTTAAAATCAAGAATATCTATTCAAACATTTGTACTTAGTAAATATAACGGCTATAGTAATAAAAAGTGAGTTTACGTCTCACTGGGTGCTCCATACTTTCGACCTTGTACCACATCTAAGCTACATTTAGAAAATCCCTATAATGTAAAATAATTCTTTCTCCAAAAACAAAACATTCCTAATCACTTGGGCTTAGAGAAGCCAATGGATCTGCACCCACCTCCAACACCTACCCCAATACAGGATCACTAGCAAAAGAGCCTGCAGTAAGAGCCTAAAAAGTCAATCAACTGGATGACCTACCATTAAATGCAACCCCCAGTCCTGTTTAGAATATAAGGCGGGTACAGATTGCACCCCTCTTCCACCCCAGACACATACTAAAAAGTCTGTCGCCTGTTTTGATGTGAGCTGCCAACTAAACACTGGCAACATTAAATGCCATAGTCCAACATTCCAGCAAAACAATTTAATAAAGCTAATAGTCAGACAATCAGAATTACTGATATTTTTTAAAGTAACAAAAATGTTTAATATACAGTTGCAAATGAAATTTTAAATTATTTAGAAATAGATTAACACATTAAAAATAAATGTTCAAGATGCACAAACTAATTATATATAATTTTAATGTGGACATAGGAATTGATTGCACCCACAGATGAAATAAAAATTTAATATAAATGCACAATAAATATCAATTTGTATAAGAACATATCTCCCTGCCAACAAGATCAAGAGGAACAGGAAAAAGCCTTTGGGGAACCTTTCCCTTCTACATATTTGTTTCATACAGGATGGTAATTTGGGATGGTACTTTTTTTCTTTTATTGTTAAAAACAGTTTCTACATTTTGGTATGCAGTCCAGTCTCAGGGTGCCTGTCTCCTGAAAGTATCCTCAAAGCTAAGATGCCGATATTTTTGGCCCCTGGCCCCATGTAGGACTCCCATTTCAAAAGTCCACTTGTATCACATTCTGTTAGAGTGGGCATTTGGATAAATCCCACATTTTCAGGAAAGAAATCATTTGAAACGCTAATCTTATAGATTAGCTAATAAAACTAGGGATATGGTGAAAGAAAAAAAAATGGGGGGGGGTCTTTATTGTTATAATTTATCTGTTGAAAAGAAAAGTTTAAAATACAATTTTCTTTTCAAAAAGACCATTTATTTATTTTTTTTGCCTTTCTTGTGATAAAAGAAAAAAAAAAAAAAAAAAAAGAAAAGTTTACTCTGAAAAGAAAGACTTTTTTTTTACAGTAAGGTTCATCCTGTATAAGACTCGGAGGTGGGGGCACGATAAAAGGCAGTTTATATGGAATAGGAGGGTAAATAACGGTTGACGCTAGATTTGGACAGGTTAAGATTGTAGTGATCGGAAAAACATCCTCTAGGGAGTCTGTTCCATAGGGCAGTGGTTCACAGGAAGAAACTGAGTGAAATTTACTTCTCACCGATGGAATACGAAACGTTTATTAGTGCAGAAAGTGCAATAAGAGAGTAAAGTTCAAATTTTGCTCTTATCAGTTGCGTTGTCTTCAGTTCACCCTAAGAGAAAAAAAAAAAAAGGCATGAACCCATCTCTTCCCGCGCTACAAATAAGAAGCAGTAGGTTCTCTTGGTTAGCAGCCAGTCTAAAAGCGTAGAAGCGATAGTCTAAATTCCAAATCTTGGAGAAAACGAAGGAAAACCATTGTCCAATCCAAGAAGTCATGGCAACTAAAAATTAATTAACACAAAAAAAAGGAAGATGACAAAAACCTTGACTGCCTAAGTCTTAAAATGACAGGATTTTTTTTTTCTTTAATTATAAAATATTATTTGTAGTGATGATTTTTGTTTTTATTGTTACGATAAAGTGGACGAATTTAAACAAGATTGTCCAATTATTAATTTCTTTATGGAAACTACTTTCTTTTTTTACCCTCATTAACAACCATTCAATAGAATCAACTTCAGTTTAACGGTCTTAAAATGTTAAGCATATTAATTAATAGTTAACAACAGGCTTTTTTTTTTTTAAGTGACTTTTTTCAGTTTCAAAAGAAATTGACGGTTAAAAAAAAATTTTTTTGTTCTAAACCAGTTCATATTTTTTTTCGTATCTGGACATATTGTATAAAAATAAGCAACGAGAATTTTATTTAAATTATTTTACTAAATAATTTTTTAAAAAATAAATGAAAGATAACCTACAAAATTACTGACTCGTTTCGTTTGAAAAGAAAAGAAAAGAAAAAACGAACTTCAAGGACATAAAGATGGCAGCTTTGTTTCTTTGCAATAAAAGGAGAAAAAAAAACAGAATCAACAAAAACGTTAATTAAATATTATTAAATATTATTAAAGTTTACATTTAAAAATTATTGTTAAAGATAGAAATAACACAAAAATGTCTTAAATGTTTTCGTTAAATTTCGCCAGATATTTGACCGGCGGGTCACCTTAACCAAAAGAAAACCATGCTGTTTGTTTTTAGACTTCTCAGAGGTCGGAAAAGGACACTTAAATAAATAAATATTTCCATTATGTTATGTATAAGACTTATTTTTAAATTACTATAGTTAAGGGTAGGGAAATGAGATAAATATATACTGTTGTACACTTTAAATTTAAAAGTTAATTGTCTGGGAAGAGAGCAGGAGACAGTGGCATGTGTTTTAAAATAAACACTGAAAAAGCCAAAGATACATATTTTAAATTTTAACACAATATTGACACAGAAAATACCTATATTTGAGCAAATACCAGCAAATATAGATTCTAAAAATTAAAATACGGAGACTTTCACTTAATTAACAGCAAGTTTTATCTACGATTTTATTTTTATTTTACGAGTTAAGGTGTGTTTTTTTTTTTTTTTTTGATACAGACATCATGTACAGAGATTGATTAATTATAATAACCACAAATATATGAGCTGTATTTTTGTTTCAGAATCGAAGATATGCTTTTAAAAAGAACTAAAATCAAACACTTATAACGAGAAAAAAAGAAATTAAATGAAAATTTACCTTTTTTCCGGGTGCTAAGGACAGGGAGTGCGTCTAGCAAGCTGGCAACTGCAACGGGCACTAACTCTTCCTGACACTTTTGAGTGATTTTAGTCTCGAATGACGCAATTAGAATTGAGATGATAAGCAATTTCCTCTTCTTCATTCTCCATCAAAAGATTAAAAAATGTTTTTAAAATATTTTCTGCTGGATTTTCAGGTCGAAAAGAAAATTCATTGAAAAATGACAGCTTTCTATCCAATCTAACACTTTGTTTTGAGAGTTTTCATTAATTTAAAATAAATGTTTTAAGTAATTCATTTTTTAACGATTAAAAATAATTTAAACATCCCATAATTTCTACTTTATGAAGTAGTAGATTATTTCAATATGAATTACATCTGAACTGAAAAAGAAAAAAAAAATCACAACATTAAATAAAAATACAAGATCCGAAATAGCATCAAAAAGACCAAGTTTAATGTGGGAATTTGCATGCAGAATCTCAGAAATTATTATTCAGAAGTTTTTTTGTTTTTTGGTATGATTCAAGCATTGACCTTTAATGAGTGGGAGCACACTCATAGAAAATAGACTTTTTTTAATCATTTTCCCCCCAAGCAAGACAATAAAGCCACTAAAATGCAAGGGTTTACTGAGAGCAAAATAAACAGAAAGGATAATAAAAGAACATGGTTCTTGAGACTGAAGATAATGTTGCATTTAAATTTTTGAAGATTATAGTTGACAGGAAAGTAAGAAGCCAAAAGATAGTTCCACAGTTGAGAAGTGCAAAAAAAGAAACTATTATAATAAAACCCATGGTTATATCTAGCAATTTCAAAAGTAAAATGATGAGACCTACCTGCCAATCTAGTACTCTGAAGTCAAGGTGCCAAAGAGGAAAGTATTATTTATTTTGTAAAAATACAAAAATGTGGCACAAAACTATTATTTGCATTAGTTAAGACTTTAAGAAAGATATATTTTTTTTTATCTGTACTCACAGAAAAGATTTCAGTTAATGAAATAATAGTAAGTTTCAATGGAAAGAATGTTATTCAATAAGAAGATGTTGTAAGCTGAAATTCAGTGTAAGATGAGTTAAGCGATATTCAATGTTCGTACATACGTATGTGCGCATGTGTGTGTGTGCCCAAACATCATCCATTAAGGAACAGACGCAGACTCTTCACTGACTACATTGTTGTGGTTCTGAGAAAAACAGAGGAAAGAGAGAAAGAGTAGAAAATGTGTCCTTGTATTTATAATGTTGTATGTCACATGATAGGCTCAAAAAATATACACAGATTTTTGGCAGAATTGTATTTTCGTTCAGGTCAGAATCTAAGTCAATACAATTAAAACGTTTATGAAAACATGTTATTAATATTAATTGACCAATTGGGAGTCAGAGAAATATCAAGGCTTTGTGATTCACTTTTTGCATAAAATTGAACAAGTTATTTTTAGCTATTTGAAATAATGTAGAATTAAAATTCTACAAGTCATAATTACTGACCCAAACATACCACAGTATTCCTTACACCTAAACAGCACATTCTGAGTTACAATTCTTATGACATCCACCATAATACCACAAAGTCTCTATGAAGTACTAACTAGTCCCTATATGTACAATTTTTGCCTGTGTCAGACAGGGAATAAGAACAACAATTTAACAAAATCTAATCCCAACTGCCAAAAAGGAAAGTTTATCAGAAAATTACCATGGAAATATTTATAGAAAAGGCAATGTCAGGTCATGACCAATAACATTGCAAGTTCTTCTTTGGATTTTGTTAGGAATCTATATAGCTACTCTTATACTCACTTTCTGCAAAATATATGCAATCAGCGAAATTCATAAATGCATATCACAGAACTGTCTCATTGCAAAAGATTGACAAAAAGAATATCTCATGTTTGGGATGTCATAATAGTGGAGAGAAGAGTGTGGGTGAGTGACCAATTCAGCAAAACACTCTCTCATAACTGCTATTCATGCTCAGTCACTAGTAACAGTAAATATAACCATTGTCAACCTTGACAAGGGTCAGTCATATATTTTTTTTATCACTGTACAATCACAAATCTGTAAAGTGTTCATTTCAATTCAAACAATGATGGATCATCCAAAAATTGTCTGATTTCCTTTGTTATTACAGCAGGCAACAAAGTGCCCCCCCAACACACACACACACACACACACACACACACACACACACACACCATTTCTTCACTTCTGATTGTAATGGGTTGGCTGGTTGATTGATTTTGTTTAGCAGCATATCAACCTCTATTGGTTATTTAATGCCAAAATCTCAAATATTTTAATTGGTTTGGTTGGTTGATTTTATTTAGAAGCATATCAACCTCTATGGGTTATTTAATACAAAAATTTAAATATTTTGATTGGTTTGGTTGATTTTGTTTAGCAGCATATCAACCTCTATGGGTTATTTAATACTGAAATCTAAATATTTTGATTGGTTTAGTTTGGTTGATTTTGTTTAGCGGCATATCAAGGTCTATGGGTTATTTAATGCCGAAATCTAAATATTTTCAACATAGTTTTATGCCTTCAAATTCAGATAAAAGGTATTGTTGTTCATTTTACTATAAAATGTATTGTTGCTATTTTTATACTTTCATAGTGTTTGAGGATTCACTATTTGCCCATAGCTGGGACCCTAACTGGTTCTACCACCCCAGGTCAGAGTGGACCTGGGAATAACAGCAATTAAAAGGAGGTTCTAAGCTCCTCAAATCCTCCCAGTCAGAGACCTTGCTGTGGGATGTAGTTTATCAGATTTTAATGGGAACATGCTACCTTAAGGACATATCCCTGAGCATTGGTCTTCAGTAAATTGTTGTTGTGGTTTACCAAATGTATAAATATGGGTAGCTCCAATTGTACCTGCTGTTTAGAAATATGTTAGATGCCTTCTCTCAGGCCCTGAAAAAGTAAAGCTAACAAAAATTATAAAGTACTGTTTACTCATAATTCCAACGTGTCATTTTGTAAAAGACTATGCTTTTTCCATGTGGCGGAAAAGGATCCTCTCTTCACAGCACTTACCTCAAAATCTTTTTCTGTACCAACTAATCTGTCATGCTGTAACCATTAAAGGTCACATGACCGGCCAAGTATGGTACATATTAATTAAGGAAGAAGCAGGAAAGTTATCACAACATTGTTATCAACTTCCAATCTCAAAGTGGCAAAATTGTGAGATAAATAGTATGAACATGGTAATTAATACTGTTTTTATCCACAAATGCTCTATGCTTGATGTCAAGCAATTTACACACATACATATAATAAATTTTAAATAATACAATTATATATACACACACACACACACATATATATATATATATATATATATATATATATATATAGGTCAGTGCCATTAAGCCATGCACCAATAAACCATTTATACAATGTTGCTTCAGCTGTGCATGCGCAATGGACCCCAAAATCTTTTGTCATGTTCATATTATAATCATAATCATCAGTGGATCCCAATTTGAAACAAATTCAAACTTGATTGTGACACTTTTTAAAGACTGATTTTTTTCTGTATAATCTTTTATTTTATTAAATTCATTAAATTGAGTTTTAATACCTTTAGTATATCCGTATTTTCCCCTGGCATTTACTATCGTTTAGGTTTTGGCATTTCACACTCACTTATGGATATGTAAATTTATTAAAAATGTTATTTCATATTAGTTTCATAAAATTTGTATTGCATCATTACATTGCATAGAAACCTGTGCTTGTATGTAGATGTCACTATATTTTATTGTTATATTATTTTTATTAATACATTACAATACAATACAATTTTCATGGATAACTCCATGGACTTGACAAGCTTAGTTTTGGTGGTCTAAGCAGGCAATGCTGACATCGCATCTCACTTTTAATCTGAACCATGGATAGAAGTTTTGAACCCCAACTACTGTGGTTTATTAGTTCCAACTTATATATATATATATATATATATATATATATATATATATATATTTATTTTCATGGTAATTGTTCTGATGAACTTTCCTCTTTGGTACCTACTTTATGAATTTAAGCATAGTACTAGATTGACAGCAAGGTCTCATCATTTTACAGCTGAATTTATGGTGAGATGTAACCATAAGTTCTATGCTAACAGTTTCTTTTATTGCACTTCTCGCTTGTGAAATTCTCTTCCAGCTTCTTGCTTTCCAGTCAACTTTGATCTTCAAAATTTTGAATGCAATGTAAATCATTATCTTCTGTCTTCTTAATTCCTGTTCATTTATTGTTCTCTCCCCATAATAATTTTTTCTTATTCTCTAACATTCAATAACCCTTTTCATCTTAGTGGCTTTATTGCCTTGTTTGGGGTGAAATAACTAAAAAAGTATATATACAGGGTGTGATGGGTAAATTTTCACCATTTTATATTTTTATTTTTATGCATGCACATTGTTTGTTTTTTATTTTGTCAACTGCACAGTGTAGTAGGGTCACAGAAAAAGAGCACCATGACAGAATACACTCAGCCATAAATTTGAAAACAGCATGCTGTACTTCTTAGGATTCATGCCAGAAGCTCCGATAAAAACATTTCAGAGTGTTTGGGTGTCAATCTGAGGACAGTGCAGAGGATTTAAAAAGTGTTGATGAGTCTAATGGTGATTACAAAGGTACAGTAATTCAGAAAACTCACACCGATTGTTCTGATAAGAAAAAAACTCCTGAATTTGTTGATGGGAGCCTCAGATTCAACACAGAGGTCTACAGCAAGTGTTTTGAGGAGGTAATGCTTCTTCCGATCAAGAGGGTCGCTGTTGGAAGACTCTATGTCTCACAAAAAGACTCTGCACCATGACACATAAGCAAGAGAATCCTGTCATCGCTGTCAGACAATTTCTGTGACTACATCACCCCTTACATCTGGCAACTCCCCAGACTGCAACCCCCTTGATTATTATGTGTGGGGTGCAGTTGAACAAGAAAAAAAGCACCTTGAAACACCAAAGTGAACAAAAGGCAAGGATTATGGCAGCATTCACCAATTTAAACAAGGAGACCATCCAGAAGAGTTGCAGGAGATTTCAAA